GTGATCTTTCCTCTGAAGTAAGTAAAAGTTAAACGTGCACGCTTTGCAGTCCGGTTATAATGAGACAGCTATTATTTTAGACAGTTTCAGACATTTTTTAGGTCTGACAGATTGATACACTGTCCCCATTTCTGTGTTTGCAAGTGCAAAGTTACACAGAAAAATGTAAATACAAGTTACAAATCAAGAGTTACACATGCTTTGTTCTACTTACATACACACAGATCTAGATACACACACACACACAAATCTTTAGTTATGCACACACAAATCTAGAAACACACACACAAATCTTTTGAGTCTTTTTTCTCCCCATACATGGGTGACCCCGCCAGGAAAGTTGACATTGAGCAGGATTGATGGTTTATCCCTTGAGGTCCACGTGGCAGGGGTGAGGTAGAGCTCACCTCTCACCCCTGCCACATGGACCCAAGGGATAAACCATCAACCCTGCTCAATGTCAACTTTCCTGGCGGGGTAACACATGAGGACAGTGGGAGGGTTAAGAGCCAAAAATAGTAAACTTTTAGCAAACATTAGGTTTTATCATAAGGTCACTCATCTGTCTTTTAAAGAGTTAAATTATTTAATTTAAATTATTTAATTTAAATAATTTAATTCAAATCAAATCATTCTCTTTCTCTCCCCCTCTCTTTGTATTTGATTTGTTTACTTAGCATTATTTAGGATGCTTTGTTTAGTGATTTTGGAGTTTGGTTCTTTCCCTCTGTGGAACTGCAGATTGAGGAGGTAAATGACTTGTGTTGTACAAGGGACACAAAAGCAGCTCTCTGCTGGGATCAAATCATCAACCCTCCGATTACTGGACAACCCGCTCTCCTTCCTTCTGCCCCCAGGAAGTGGAGAGCAACAATTAGTTGCCCATGCACAGGTGGGGTGAGCAGGGTGAGAGATGTTCAGAGGAGTGATGCGCCCCATGGGTGTTGCACAGCTGAGCTAGAGTGCAAGTAGGTTTCCATATTCGGTCACAATTCAGAAAGTGCTCACATGGTGTTATTTTATGCCGCAAGTTTCTCCAGCGAACTTGTGTCATTTCAGCATTTCGGCTTCATCTGTGTTCCAAACAATATAGAAAATGTGTTTCTGTTCACATTTGTGTTTGTGGTATAGTTGGTAAAGGAAGTTATGTATCTTTTAGAATGAAGAAACACAGAAAGTTATTTTAGGGTTAGGTTCACATTAAAAAACAAACAAATGAAAGCAGTGATGATGAAATGTGTTCTCATCTCTCAAACCTTTTTATGGAAGTGGAAATGTAACAGTATAGCTCAAGAGCTTGCAGTAACGCAACAACTGGTACCTGCTGTGAAAAACTAAAGCAGAAGAAGTCCATCTATTTCTGCTCTATGACCTTGTTACGAAGAAGCTCCCTCATCTGAGCTGCAACCTCCAAGGTCCCATGCAGAAGACAAGACTTTTACTCTCTGAACAAAAAGTACTCTTAATTTGGTCACATAAAATTATTTCTTTCAATCTACAGGTTTACAATCATATTCTGCGTTATCTGAAATGATTGCTCTATCTAAAGTGATTTAATAATTAATTAATTAATCAACACAAATGTTTATTTCTATAAGGATAAATTTCAGATCTTAAATTACACCAGATTAGTATTTGTAAATCTATCATTAGGAATGTTTTACATATTCACTTCACATTAAGAAATACCCTCATTCTGCTGGGGGACTTCACCGCTCATGTGGGCAAGGACAGTGAGACCTGGAGAGGTGTGGTGGGGAGGACCGGCCCCCCTGATCTGAATTTAAGCAGTGTTTTGTTATTGGACTTCTGTGCTCGTCATGGATTGTCCATAATGAACACCATGTTCAGATTTAAATGTGTCCATATGTGCTATTGGCACCAGGATACCTTAGGTTGCAGCTCGATGATCGACTTTGTTGTTATCTCATCTGATCTGCGGCCGCAGGTCTTGAACACTTGCTTGAAGAGAGGGCCAGAGCTGTAAACTTAGGGCAGCAGTAGCTCAAAAGGTTGTCCAGTAATTGGAAGGTTGCAGGTTCAATCCTGGCTGCGGGAAAACATTTAACTCAAAAGGGCTTAAGGAAGGAAATTGTTCATCATATCAAACAAATATCAGCCTGTCGACTAATTCCTGCTGGAACGTGACGTTTTCAGGAAACCCCGACAGTGCTGCAAGTGCACCTCTGCCCTTGTTCGCTGCAGTGCGGGGTTTTAATTAATATTTATATTTAAATTATTGATAACTCGCACTTGTATGATGCCTTTCAGAGTCAGAGGACTCCAAAGTGCACACACACACCACACCGTCAGAAGGGACCTTCACTGTGGCTTAATTACCACTGTCAGCCCTCAGTCTGATAAAAGAGAAAGAAACAAGAGAGTGAGGGGACAACTGCAGTTCAACAAACAATAGAAAGAGAGAAAGAGAGAAAGAGAGAAAGAAAGAAAGAAAGAAAGAAAGAAAGAAAGAAAGAAAGAAAGAAAGAAAGAAAGAAAGAAAGAAAGAAAGAAAGAAAGAAAGAAAGAAAGAAAGAAAGAAAGAAAGAAAGAAAGAAAGAAAGAAAGAAAGAACGAAAGAAAACTATCTTTTATATAGCTCCATCTAAATGCACACACACACACACACACAACCAGTTTGTTCTCGTCTGTGGCAAGGGAAAAGTCATGAAGACTTCTGAGCCAACAAAGTCTGGACTTGTCGGGGCTGTTGACAGCATTCAGCTGCAGGCGGTATCCACTGGCGACTTGTTGCGGTCCACACATCCCAAACTGGGTCAGTCTTCACTCATACGGAAGGCTGCTCGGCAACGGCAAGGGAGAGTATAATACATGTCCTTGAAGTTCTATGCTTGAAATCATTGTCAAATAAAAATAATTCAGCAGCTTTATTCATGATATTTGATGCAAACAAGTTGTTGCTGGCCACGCCCATCCATCTCCTGATAGGCTACTGTGATGTGATACAGTTCAGATATACAGGAAGGGCTCAGAGTAGAGCCGTTGCTCCTGCAGCGTTGGGGGAGGAGGGTCTATGCTAAATTTCCTTATTGTGACATCACAATTAGGGACTTTTTGAAACGGCTTGTTTTAAGCGCATCATCACTAAAACCTTACACTGTCAGATAAAGAGATGGACGATTCATGTGTGGAGTGTTAAAAGAAGAAGTATACCCACATGGCAACACAAAAGGATGCAAAATTGGAGTTTTGCATATGAACCTTTAAGTTTTGCATTTGCCTGGAGTTTGATCTTTCTTCACCTTCAAAGCTGCATGAAGATTTATGAGACAAATATTAAATCACACTTTCTGCTGCTGAATCAAACCTGCGTATTATTTAACTTTGCCTATGATTGGTGCTGAAGATGAATGTCAGCTATGACGGAGATCAAGAGTTAAACTACCCAAACAGGTTCAAGTTGTCTCTGCTTCTTGCTGAGTTACATCATCTTTGTTACTTATACGGTCCTAATGTGTGACAGGAATGTAGTGACATGCTGTCTTCCGTTGTTGGGTTGTAGATGATCTGTTTAAACAAAACTGTTGGTGGTTTTCCCCTCTGAGCATTTCCCCCGTTTTTAGGTTGTTTTTGTTTCTCTAAGGAACAAGAAGAGTTTTTGGGTGTGGCCACACATCCTCCACCCATGGCAGCATCTCACTGAGAGCAGCATTGAAAATAAGTGACATCATTTGTGCCCCAAATAGGCTTGTTTGCAAGCACCCTGGCAAGCTCCTATTTATAGTTACTTATATAGGACAGCACGGCCCAGAGAGCTCAGTCGTGGGGTGAAATCTACAGTTCTCCATAACTGTCTCCGCACCTTATCGGACAACGAACAATGTGATGTATTCACCGCCACGGATTTTAGTCAGTGCACATACACTGTCAAAAAAGAAGCAAGTACATCCTTTTTCTGAATGAAGGACCTAAGTACCTCCATCTGCTCTTGACTCAAAGAAAAGCCCGAGTCTAAAAAGCCCAAAGCTGATGCCAGAGCCGTTTCAAACGAGCCGTCACCTTTGTTGTTTGGCTCCGGTGCTAATCCACCACACCAAACTAATAGAGTGCTGTAATTTGGAAAACACAGTACCGGTCGGGCCAGTGGTAGACCTGCTGAGGCTCCAGCGGAGCGTGGCTAGACCGACCTGCAGAGCAAAATCCTTTCACTTCTGCTAGGGTGGGGTTACTTGGTTTCTTCTGGTGAAACTGCGTACTCCTAAAAACAAGTTCATACAACTGGAGATCAATAAAGAGTGTTCACAGGAAGTATTCGTTTAAAACAGCAGTTACACAAAGGAAAAACGGTGTTGAACTGAATACATCTGTCCCTCTTTTGATTTCCTCATCAGTCACATGAAATCAGAACAAGGTCTGTTCTCTGTCTGTGAACCCAGCAGATTTCAGGATGCGTAACTTTCCTGTTCACATTCTGTGCATGGCTTTTGACGTAAGGGTGAAAATTTGTGTTTGAACTTTGGTTTGAGAAACTTTGTTTATGGTCACGGCATGATGACAATATACCTGCACAAAAACGTTTCCAGATCAGCCAAGATCAGTTTGCAGTGTGTGTGTGTGTGTGTGTGTTAGATTTCTGCCATGTGAACCCAGAACCCAAAGAGTCTAACAATGGATGCAAGGATTTGATCCCAACATTTAATAGCAGGCATGGCGTCAGACCAGCTCTAACCCACAACCAGTCTGTGCCACTCACGTTGAACAGGGCAGGCAACATAATGTTCACCGCAGCTTCTCAGAAACATGAGGAGGGAAAAATGTTCGTGTCTTCAGAATGAAGGACTAGAAATAGAAATAAGGGTCCTAAGTGATGTTAACAGTCAGGATTAACACTGATTCACGTGTGGAGTGAGCACCACCTCACCCCTGTCACAAGGTCCTCAAGGGATGAACCATCAACCCTGTTCAATAGTTAACTTTCCTGGCGGGGTCACCCGATAAGACAATGGGAGGATTAAAACAATTTAAACAGGCAAATCATATTCATGGCAGGTTTTAAAACAGTTTATTTCCTTGAGCAGTGAGTTGAATCTAAACTTGCTGCTGAATTCCTCATCTTGCAGTTGGAGGAAACATATCTTCAACTGACTCAGTCAGGATCTAGCAAGATCTTCCATGTGTGCAACCAACATCTACACAAATAACATGATTGTTACGTCCTCGAAAGGTGGAAAAAAGGCAGGGAGTAACACAGGCATGTGCTTCAGGTGTTAAAATTGTAAACAAGGATTTTATTTTAGGGTTTTAAATAAAAACACAAAGCTCCAAATCTAAATGGACTTAAAACACATTGTTTAAACGGCCATGGGTTTATGTTTAAAACAGAGAACCAAATGCTCCCAAAAATTCACTGTACACACGTTTGAGAGCCAAGAGGAAGCCAGCACTCTGGTCCCTCGTCTGTTAAAAACCTCTAAAAGCTCTTAAGCTTCACTGAGCACAAACAACTAAAACCCGTTTAAAAGCCAACACAAAGAAATTGAGCAGGCGAGAGAACTGGCACAGATCCAGCCTCTCCCTTCCTCCTAGCAGCTCTCCCTTTTATGTTGCTCAGGAGGTGATCAGTCCGAGTGAGTGCAGCTGTACAGGCAGGGAAAGCACTGGTAGTCATCTGCAGCGTCAGGTTTCTGGGACAAACAGCAACAGCTCTACAATGATTCACTTCTACAACTGTTGGGTTATATTAGACAGACTCAGATTGCTCCAGTAATACCAGTGTAAAATAAACATAATGAGCAAAAAACAAAAAAATGGGACTGAATCAGTACACCAGAATAATTACTATAATCGTGTTTCTGTGTGCGTGTTTGTGCAAGCGTGTGTGTGTGCAGAGAGAGAGAGATTTCTTTGAAGGACGTGTTGAGTCAATGTAAGAAGTTTCCCTATTAGAGGAGCGGGTTCTGTCTAACTGGAGCAATCTGCACACAAGTGAGCAGATCTTTGTCATCTACTTAATAAACAAAAGTATTACTCTCTTCTGCACACTGTTTTTTATCTTGGACTAATAAAAAGGTTTACCACCTTCAAAAGGAAGATTAAAATCTTTTGAAAAAAAGAGGCATTTTGATATCTTTCTTTGACCAATGCGCAGTATTGACTCTGTCTTTTAACCTCTGTCCACAGCCACACACGATCAACGTACGGCTCAGTTGTGGTGGCGATGATGTCGGAGAAAGTGCAGCGATAGTAAGTCAAAGGCAAAACACGAAAGGAACCCTGTTCAGGGGGGTTGGTGGGACTCATTCCCAGGTGCATCATACACAATCCCAAATACACGTCTTCAATATAAACAGCTTTAACGTGTCTGGATGCTTCAATGAGCTTTTTAGTGAGATCTAGAGATAAAATGTAGCCCAGACCCAAAGCATAAGGAGGGTAAACTGGCGGAGAGAAGAGCTCAGGTGGTAGATACCACTTAGAGGACGGATCCCTTAAAACAGCACCATTATACGCCACCAGCCCAGTCAGGTAGTTCGATGTGGGAGCGTTTAACAGCATTTTGACCAGATTGGGCACATGGAGAAACATGTCTGAATCAATCTTCATGGCGTAAGAGGCGTTGGAGCAGAACAAGTCCAACCACTCCAGCATCACCATGGTCTTGATGGTCAGATTCTTATAACAGTCCACAAAGTCACTCTGAATCAGGTCCTGGTGCTCGTTGCTTTCCTGCAGCAGCTGCTTGTGGACCTGCTGTGCATCATCTCCAGTTTGCATCCCCAGCAGGAAGAACAGCCTCACCACTTTATCCAGAACTAGCCTCTCGCTTCCCCAGGTGCTGCGGATCACATCACGGTGAGCTCTGTTATGCGGCGCCACTGGAACCATCAGAACCACAAATGGCTTCTCCTGCTCACATGTCAGAGGCTCGTTAATGGTGAAGTGGTACTCATAAGGATATTCCACCAGGTAGGGTCCAGGAGACACATAAGGGACTGGTGTAGGTCGGGTAGAGTGTGGATGAACCACCTGCTGGATCACCTTTGAAACGACTTCTGATCCATTTGTGAAGTGAGAGATAATATTTTGTCTGATAAATTGAATAAGCAATTCCTTTGATTCATTCAACTGTTTGTTGGTGGTGCTCCAACCAGTTTCATTTATATTTGTGTAGAAGAAAAAACTTATAGCTCCCAGAAGCAGGAGAAGGAACTGGAACTGGTGCCGTGAAATCCTCTTTTTGTCTAAAAGTCTCCTGATGGACACCATTTTCTGCCTGAAGACAAATGAAACACAACAAAAAGCCCCTTTAAGTTTGTGAGCTTTAATAAACTATTACCTCGCATGACCAAAACCACACGTACCATTTCACATGTGGAGATTTTACCAAACTATAGCTTTTCTCAAGGCGCTCCTTTACAGACACAAGTGAGAGGATAAAAGAAAGAAGCATTTTTAAAGCATACACACCTTTATTCTCATGTCCATGACAGGCTTCAGCACTCAGCCGTGCTCAGGTTATTGTCTTCATCGCTCTCTCTGATGAAAACGTTCAGCTGTGAAGCTAGATTGCACTGTTTCTGAGAAACGAGTTCACACAGTTACCTAAAGCCTACCTACCTGAGAGCCACACCTTATTTTGCACAACCTCCTGCTTTAAATGTTCTGCGAGTTCAAACATGTTTTTGTGTCAGATTTATAACATTTGTAGCTCTCAGGTGTTTTACTTGTGATAAGAGAAGATAAATCATAGACTTACATTACCTGAAGGAGTGCAAATCGCTAACTGATGTGGAAAAATGATAAAGGTATGTTTGTTTTGAACAAACATCTAAAAACACATTTGCACATGCTGGGTTTTTGCCTCTCAGAGACGGCTGAGGCACATTTAAAACTCCTTTTAGCTAAAGTAATCCCCATTATTGTTAATAATGACCCAATTGAATAAGAAGAAGTGCAGACAATGATAATTCACTACAGATTCACTCTTCTGCACGGTGAGTGATTCATTCAGCCTACTAGAAATGGTATAAAACTATGAGCCTCTCAGCTCAGGTACCTGCTCTCCTCACATTTCAGTGGTTCTTAGGTGGAAACAAGGGACATCTAGTGAAGACTCCATCACAGAACATCTAAGGAAGCAGAAATGTTCACATCATCAGTTAAATGATGTTTGGGATGTTTAGATGGGTGAGAATTTAATTTAATTTAATTTAATTTAATTTATCAATCAATCAATCAATTAATTTTATTTTATTTTATTTTATTTTCACACACACAAAAAAAAGAACAGTTAAATATATCCATTCACAAACTGCTAGAATAGCCTCAGAGGGCTTCACGAGCGGCCATCTTCAAAACGTTTGAAAACACCAATGGCACAGGAGTTAAGTGCTCGCCCCGTAATCTGAAGCTTGCAGGTTCAAGCCCGGCTCAGTCTGTGGCTGTGTCCTTGGGCACGACACTTAACCCACCGTGCCTGCTGGTGGTGATTGGAGGGACTGGTGGCACCTGAGTACTAGAGACTCTCCACTGTCAGTGAGCCCCAGGGCAGCTGTGGTTACAATGTAGCTCATTCCCACTAGGGTGAGATTGTGTGTGAATGGGTGAATGACTGATTGTGTTGTAAAGTGCCTTGGGGGACTCCAAGACTTTAGAAGGCACTATATCAAATACAGGCCATTTACCATGAATGATACGCTGTAGTGTAAAGCGCTTTGGAGCCCCCTGACTCTGAAAGGCGCCATGCAACTGCAGGTCATTTATCATTTATTTCCAGTATAGTAGTCTAAGGAGCTTTGAAAGAAAAGCATCTGGACTTCTTTGAGTTGCTTGAAGACGTTTCACCTCTCATCCGAGAGGCTTCTTCAGTTCCAAGGTCAAATGGTGGAGAGTCCCAGATTCAAACCCAGTGGGAGTTTTCCCCCCGAAGAGGGAACAAAAGACCCCCTGATGATCTTCTACATACCATAAATCCTCTAATACAGGACGGTATTCAATTAAAGGCCGGGTCTCCAATTTTGGCCGGTGTCGGAGTCGGCGGAGGTGAATAATGGCCGGTCTCTTATTGTGGCCGGGTGGAATGTGGTAACAAGCAAGTACGGGGGCGGTTGTGTCATCGTCTCACTTTTGATTTGCCAGTGATAGACCGTGAGGGTAACTTTAACCGTGCGGAGACGAAGAGGAGGCGAAAATTTGATATCAAGTTCAAAGAGAACGTGCTGATTATGCTGCAGAACACTGGGGAGCAGTAGGGGTTGTATGAACTAGTCGACTTCACTATAGTGACTTTTTATGCCTGTCATCGACTAGTCGCTGTCACGTGATAATTACCGGCAAGATGCAGCCCTCGGAAAAGACAGCAGTCTGCTGTCAGCAGGTGACAAGCTCCTGCGCTCGGGGGGGGCAACGCGCTCTGCCAGAGCGTCGGTACTGACACGCGATCGTTCATGTCGATTCATTTCCTTTAATGTTTTCTGTCTTTTATTTGCGCCTAATGTGTTTCGCTGCTGTGGAGCGGGGCGCATCACCTTGTCCTCCGACGCATTGATCACTGATGCGGCCGCCAAGCAGGGAGCACTCAGCTGTTTTTGCGGTTGGTAATCTGCCTCCTGAGCACGGCCACAGTAACAATCAGGTGTTGCCAAATTATTTAACACGCGATCGTTCATGTCGGTTCATTTCCTTTGATGTTTTCTGTCTTTTATTTGCGCCTGATGCGTTTTGCTGTGGAGCGGGGCGCATCAACTTGTCATCCGGTGACGCACCGATCACTGATGCGGCCGGCAAGCAGCGAGCACTCCGCTGTTTTTGCGGTCGGTAGATCTTTTAGAACTGCAGTTCAAAGGTAACTCATAAGGTGAATATATATGAACCCAGGTAGCAGTTTTTCTTTAGGATTGAGAGGAGATGCAGGAAGATAATAAACAGAGACAGGACAGAAAAATAGTCAAATAAAAACAAGTTAGTTTTTGTACCTGGTGGTTGCAACAAACAGACACCAATGAAGGTAATCAGAAGTGAGGAACAGAAAATGAAATAATTATTTTAATGTTCAGAGCAGCAGGAACTCCGAGAGGCTGCAGGCGCATCAGTGAGTTTGCGGACGCTGCGCAGGGGGAGGGGGGAGGGCTGAAGCAGAAACTACCGTTGTTAAAAGAAATGTGTTTAACTTTGAAAATGTGGGCGCACTTTTAATTGTCAAAAACTCCAGCGAACCATTAGTTCATTTTGCTCAAATAGAAATAGAGGCCTGCCTCTAAATCTGGCCCTCCTTCCAATAAAGGCCTGGAGCTTGATGAGCTTGATGAGTCAAATACAGGCCCGGGCCTGTATTAGAGGATTTACAGTAAACACATGAGCCAAGGTGTGAGGGTGGGTGTGGGTCCTATTCAGCCAGAGTTTCGGGTGAGCTCATTGTGAAGCCTGGCCCCACCCTATCATGTGAATTCCTGAGGTCAGATGGCCCAGGATATGCGTGGGCGTTGAGGCATCTGGGAAGGGATCTCAAAACTGGATTATAGATGGCAGACAGTTGGTGTCGTAAACCACCGCCTCTGTTCAAAGATGGTTGCTCACAGTGGACATAAATGGCTTCATTTACTCCTCTTTCAAACCATCTGTCCTCTCTGTCCAAAATGTGAACGTTGGCATCCTCGAAAGAGTGACCTTTGTCCTTTAGATGCAAATGAACTGCTGAGTCCTGTCCCGTGGAGGTGGCTCTTCTATGTTGTGCCATGCGCTTGTGAAGTGGCTGTTTGGTTTCTCAGATGTAGAGGTCTGGGCATTCCTCGCTGCACTGTACAGCATACACCACATTGTTCAGTTTGTGTTTAGGAGTTTTGTCCTTCGGGTGAACCAGTTTCTGTCTGAGTGTGTTGCTGGGCCTGAAGTACACTGGTATATTGTGTTTGGAGAAAACCCTCCTGAGTTTCTCTGATACACCAGCTACATAGGGGATGACAAGGTTGTTGCGTCTGTCTTTCTTATCCTCTCTCGCTGGTGTCTGGTCTTCTTTTCTGTGCATCTTTGCTGACTTTATAAACGCCCAATTAGGATAGCCACATGTTTTAAATGATTCCTTTATATGTGTGTTCCTTCTTTTTCCCTTCCGGCTTAGAGGGAACATGATGACTGAGAACCTTCACAGACATATTCCAGTGTAGTACACAAAATATCCACAAGGTGTCAGTGTGTTGTTATTTAAAGCCCCTTCAGGATCAGGGTTATTTCTGTCTTTAGTCCAGAGACACACACACTGTAGAAGCTAAAGATGGATTCAGGAACCCGTTCCCTCGTCTCAGCAAGTGTGTGAAGGACCGGGATAAACTAACTAAAACATCTATAACAAGCCAGACAACATTCACAAACAAAAACCCCACACATAAGATCTAAATGATCTCTTTAAGATGATTACAAAACTTTAAAATTTGACATATTTTATACATTTTAAGCAGTTTTATGATTTTTTTAAACAAACATTAAGTAATGGATGACAATGTTTTAGAGAAAAATCGAGCGATTCTTCTATTTAATCGCAGCTGTTAAATGTTAAAAGAGAATCGTGAGGCAATGATTAAACGGAGGTAAATACAAACGAAGGAAGGTGGTTTAGATTTATTTGTTGGTGTGTTTCACTCAAAAACAAGACAAATGTAGATTACCTTTTTATTGCACGTTCCATAAAAGTTGTTATTCATGACTGAAGCTAGAAAACTAAAGGGTAGAGCTTTAACCAGATCCTAAACAGAAGCTACTCCATTAAACCAGTCCGTTTGTTATTGTATAAATGTCAGCAAATCACCTTTTCTCACTGTTTCTTGGAGCAAGAAGCAGAATAACATATATATATATATAATATAAAAGGTATATAAATCAGATCACACCTTAAACATGTAGCAGGAGTAGAAACACACTTCACGTCCAGAAATCACCGCCAACGTGGCAAAAGGAGAAGATTTTCACCCAAGAGGTCCCGCTCCCCACTCTCCTTAAGGACAGTCATGTTACTCTTTAACCCTCTGGAAGCTGACGTTGCATATTTGCAACGTTAAAACCTACCTACCTGGTTACTCCACATACGTATTTCATGAGCAGTTTTAAACTCAGAAGTACCCCTGAAGGACTTAGTTCTTCGTTCTTTTATCAAAACTTATTTTGAGCCTGAGAGGGTTACAATTATAATCCAGTGCAAATAACATTGCAAGTTGTTTTTTATTAAAATGAAAAACAGGTAAATAAATAACACAGCAGCAGCAGATAAATAAAGCATAAATTAATGCTCAATACAAAAACTGTAAAACTATTTTATTTTATGGCACAAAAACAAGTTCAATTGTTACTATTTTATCTTTCCTGACTGCTCTGAAGGAAACCCAGAGTCTGCAATGAATGCTGCCACAAAGCTTCAAGTGTGACCGACAGCGGCGGGCTGTCTCTTTTGCTGCTTTCAACAAACATGAAATAAAGGTGATACAACAACCAGTCAAACAGCAGCGGCGTTTGACAAGAGAATATAACTAAGAAGTATTAGGAAACATATGAAAGCTTCTGGTTGTAGAACATAAACCTGCGATTAGAAGTCAGATATTCATCATTAAAATCATAATTTACTCATGACTGTCGATTGCATTGAGAGGTAGCTGATCTCCTAGGTTCAGTAACCTTTAACCCAGAACTAATGTTAGTTTATGCAGGTTTGGTTAGTTTAGCTGTAAAACCAAACATTAAAGGCTTGGTTTGGAGCTAGTGTTGTGGTGAGATCCGTTTCCATGCTTCTACAGCAGGATGATTCCTCTCAAATGAATACAATCTAGAATAGAAGAATAAAATGTTTAAGCACTATTAAGCAATGAGTCTGTTAAATGTATATATAGGTGTATATATAAGTATATACAGGGATATATATAAGTATATATATATATATAAAGTATAAATAAGTATATATAGGTGTATATATAAGTATATACAGGGATATCTATAAGTATATATGTGTATATATATATATATATATATATATATATATATATATATAAGTATAAATAAGTATATATAGGTGTATACATAGATATACATATAAGTATATGTAGCAATTGTCATAAATGCCATTGTATAAAACTATAGAGGACCATTCCTGAGCCTTCCAATAAGACAAGCTGTGTCTTGATCATGATTACAACATTGCATCTCCAAATTCTGATTTCCAAAGTAATAATCATGACTTAGAAACCTTTAGTTCTGACCTCTGTGACAAGAAACGTTTCCATATAGAGGTCAAAGGTGAGAGGGACCAAAGCTGAAGGGTTTTGTAAGGGGAACACATCTGAACACAACACCAGTTAGCTTCGTTTAACAACTTGAAGGTTGTTGGAAATCATGCTAAAAAGCTTTAAAATGAGACAACTTCTGACATATTTTTGTCAGACTGGGGCCGTTTGTTTGGTCACAGCAGCAACATTCATACAAGTGCTCCCTGCTGTTTATTAATTGTTCAGTGGCTCATTGAGCCAACTCCGTTCTCTGTCAGATATTTTCGAACCAAACCCTGACTTCTTAGTGGATCATTAAGTTTTTTTTATCCACAACTGCTTTCAGTTTTAGTTTTGAGGATTCTAAACCGAGTTCAGCTGGACTATATTTTTACCAAACATCCGCGACACACAGCTAAACGCATATTTCATTTACTCGCTGACACCTTAAACCAAAATAAAGGTTGACAGCTACAGTTACTGTTGGAAAACAGCAAAATCTAAGTACACTTCTCTGATAAATTCACATTTTGTTTTTAAAACGTTGAGTCTTCATTGTTCTGGATAAGTTCTCGTTTCTCTCACTAAATTTGGATGTATGTGGTGCTGTTGCACATCCCATCTAGACCATTTTTAACAGAAACAATTAATGGGAATTTGGAGGCTTGTTTGCCACTCACGACCCGAGGTTTAATTTTCTGAGAAAATTCAGCCTTTTTTTACTTTTAATGTGTTCATTAACATTTTTCTAACTTTATTCATTCGTTTCAGGGATTTTTGCAGTATGGACCCTCTGCTTTAAAGTCTTTCCACAGCCATAAACGATTGGTAGAAGGTATGACTGTCGTGGCGATAATCTGGGAGAAGTAACAGCGGTCATAGGCTAAAGGGACGACATGGAAGTGTGCTCCCTCAGGGGGGTTGGTGGGACTCATTCCCAGGTGCATCATACACAATCCCAAATACACGTCTTCAATATAAACAGCTTTAACGTGTCTGGATGCTTCAATGAGCTTTTTAGTGAGATCTAGAGATAAAATGTAGCCCAGACCCAAAGCATAAGGAGGGTAAACTGGTGGAGAGAAGAGCTCAGGTGGTAGATACCACTTAGAGGACGGATCCCTTAAAACAGCACCATTATACGCCACCAGCCCAGTCAGGTAGTTCGATGTGGGAGCGTTTAACAGCATTTTGACCAGATTGGGCACATGGAGAAACATGTCTGAATCAATCTTCATGGCGTAAGAGGCGTTGGAGCAGAACGAGTCCAACCACTCCAGCATCACCATGGTCTTGATGGTCAGATTCTTGTAACAGTCCACAAAGTCACTCTGAATCAGGTCCTGGTGCTCGTTGCTTTCCTGCAGCAGCTGCTTGTGGACCTGCTGTGCATCATCTCCAGTTTGCATCCCCAGCAGGAAGAACAGCCTCACCACTTTATCCAGAACCAGCCTCTCGCTTCCCCAGGTGCTGCGGATCACATCACGGTGAGCTCTGTTACGCGGCGCCACTGGAACCATCAGAACCACAAATGGCTTCTCCTGCTCACATGTCAGCGGCTCGTTAATGGTGAAGTGGTACTCATAAGGATATTCCACCAGGTAGGGTCCAGGAGACACATAAGGGACCGGTGTAGGTCGGGTAGAGTGTGGATGAACCACCTGCGGGATCACAGACTGGTGACTTGTTTGTGGTTCTTGTGTTGATAAAAATCTCCCCGTTTTAAGAAGCACGGCTGAGATGGATGGTGCTGTAAACATCGCAACTGTTGGTTCAGCTTCAGATGCTTTTGTGTCCCGCAAACCAGTATTTGGTTCTTTTAAGGGAACAAACAGTTTGGTTGAATGATTCTGTAACCATTGTTTAGGATTCCAAGACGGTGCCATGTCCTTTATACTGTTGTACTGCAGGAAGAGCACGACTCCCAGAACCAGAGTGAAGAAGACACCGTGACGTCGTGACACCCAACACCACCTTCTGTTGTCCTCATTTTTCATTTTGAGACTGAAAAATTAAACAGTCAATTTAAATGACAGCAAAGGCATTTTGTCTATGATTTTGCTTTAAAAAATGAAAATATTTAGTCATACAAGTTAGTGAAGTTCTCTATTTCTCACCCGATAACAATAAAAACTGTCCTCTTCTTAAAAATGAAGCTCGAGTTCAAACTTCATATTTGAATATAAAAACATGCTTCTCTGGTTCTGCCGTTTAGCCCAGAAAATAATTCAGGCAGAGAGAGAATGTGTTTCCGAGCTTACCTTGGATCCTCTGCTGCAAAGCCACGCTCCGGCATGTTGACTCTATCTTTGCTACAAACGAGGGTTTTTACTTTTAGTTTCCAGAAAGGCAAAAAGGACAAAACGGGGCTCCTTTGAAAAAGTCATGACAAGCCTTCAACCATGGCCAGGTGGGAGTTTCACCTGTCTGGTGTAACAAGATGGAGATGCAACGGTGAGGGAAAAACATTCCAGACTAAATCCTGGGTCTTGCTGTTTCTGCTGATCAGGTAACTGCAGCTCTGTGGGTTTTTTCCAGCTAACAGGATCACCACACCTGCTTTTGCTCCACCTCTTTTAAAAACCCACTAAGAACAGCTCTCCTGACTGGAGCTGTTGTAGATTGTAGAATAACAAAACATGCACTCTGCTTCATTCTGCTTTATTTCTGTTAAACAGTTTATCTGATGCAATACGTTATTTATAAAAAGCCAACTTTTTTGTGAAGCCTTCATAACTCATGAACAACTGTTTAATACAACGAATGGCCTTGTTAAAAATGTCTTCTGATTGTAAAACACTGTGTTGCATTCATATAAAGAAAATTTGTTTTACACTGACAGTCTCAAAAGATGTGATTATTTCGTTTCAGGAGCAGATCTCATGTCTTATGGTAATAATTTAGAGTTTCGTGAGAAACGTGAAGTTTAACAGTTGTTCTTGTTGTTTTTGTTTGTTTTGTGTTATGTTGTGTTCAACATTCATTCCAACTTGTGGGAATCTTGTGAGAAGAGCTCCCCCCCCCCCCCCCCCCCCCCCCTCCTGATGGTTAGGTGAAACTTTCAGCCTTTTGTTTAGGATTGTGTTGTGATACTGGGGCTGGGGTCTGTCTGCGGAAGCGTTTCACCTTTAGAATTGTTGATCTAAGGTGTGTTTAAATGCTGGCTTTCAGAGGAGCATTGATCTCAGATTCAGATTTCAGATTTATTGGCCAAGTAAAAATACATTTACAAGGAATTTGTCTTCGGTAGATGTTCGCTCTCTAAAACATACAACAACCAAAATAAATGAGAATAAAAATACCTAAAAACACATAAGAACATATATACCCACACACATGTTCATTTACACACACACACACACATATATACATATATACATACCCACACACACACGCACGCACGCACGCACACACACATCCATAAGCATACTGAATAAGTATTAAAAACTATAATAAAAGGATGGTAAAAGAATCTACAGATTCAGGAGAGAAATGGCTGAAGGAAAGAAAATCTCCAACGTTGTCCCACTTTTCTTCCACGTTTATAGATGTTTTATTCCTCCTGTGTTGCCTCAGCCTCTGCCCCTAAACCAGGCTCTTAATATGTACTTTTAAAATAATAAAAATTTAGATCCGCAGCACAACCCAGACTCATAGCTCGATAACATATCTTATCTCTACAGTGGTGACGTTGTTCTACCAGTAACCTTGTAGAACACGGGCATCACAGACTGGATGTCCAGAGATGACTTAAAGCTCAGCGAAGATAAAATGAAATGCTTTTGTGGGTTTTGAGTTGCTGACACATCAACGATATTCTTTGTTGATCCTTTTGTCAGACATTGAGGTTGACATGATAGTGCTGAGTTTGACCCCCTTTTTGCTTCAAAACCTCCTGAACTCTTCATGTCACTGACTTATTAATGTGTTGTAACTGTTCCTCAGAGAAGATGAGTCCATGTGGTCATAAGAGGATGGACGTGGTCAGCTACAACACTCAGGTGTTTGAACCAGGCTCAGGTGGAACTGAGGGGTCCTGCAAGGAGTTACCTTTCTATCCACAAAACTGTAGATCAGATGTTTTTCAGATCGATCTCTAGACATAGGTGAGATAGATCATGTTTTAAACCGGTCTTGTTTCAGGTTGTCTGGGAGACACCTCTAGAATTTGCGAGCCTTTTATGCCTGCATGATTCATGGATGACAAACAAATGTCTTAAAGATAAAATAAATTCAGGATCTGAACTGAAATGGAGTAAACTGAAGCCAATGTCCAAAGAAACAAACCAAATGAACAAAGAAGTTTGTTTTTGATTCATTATTAAGAAGAAAGGGCTGAATGTCCTGGCAGCTCTGACTCACCCAATACTGAGCGAGAGTTAGAGATGTCAAGTTTTCCTTTTGTTTCATCTTCAACACAAGGCTGGCCACCCACACACACACACACACACACACACACACACCCACACACACACACACCCACACACACACACACACACACACACACACACACACACACACACACACACACACACACACACACACACACACACACACACACACACACACACACACACACACACACACACACACACACACACTTTGGTGGTAAGTTACATTAAAGCTTACCACCAAAGCACTCTGACAGAAGCCTTTGGTCCCCCCCCAACCAGGCATGCAGGGTAAAGTGTCTTGCCCAAGGACACACCAACGGACATGAACAGGGCCTGGGTTTGAACTGACAACCCAACCGTTAAGGGACAAACTCCTAACCCCTTAGGCAGAGTTGCTCCTATGTGAAAGCCGAGCCCTCACACTCTCCACGTCACTGGTCTGTTGCTCAGGTGTGTTTGAGAGTTGAAGTTTAACCTGATAGGAGTTATCTTGTACTCCCCATTCCAGTTGGTTTTTAACCTCAGGTGCTAACATTCTCAAGCTGCTCAGGGCACTTCTTAGAACATTTTATCATTAACTAGGAATTAGGAAGACCTCAAAGAAAGTGGGTTTTATGGCTGCTGAATCATGTTTGTTCAGTTGTGAACCAGCTCTGATCCAGTAATGAAACATTCACTAAATAAATGTGACCTCTGACCCAGCATGACCCAAACACACATCCTTCTTCACTAACAAGACTCACGAGCGACAGACATACACCCTCTTTCCTTCCTTCAGGAAGAAAGCTTGTCCTCCACCATGTTTGTTTACTCTAACGTCTCATTTGATCTAGCAAGATTTCCCATCTGACTGGGTGTTGCTGCACACCGCAGGACCGTGTAACTATATCTGTGATTTTTGTTTCATTACAGGTGTGGATTTAAAAATCCTGCCATGTGAACCAGACTGTCATGTCCCTGGGCAGAGGTGAGTCACACCATCTCCTCTCACCAGAATCTGAGCTTATTCTCCGCAGGTGAGGAGCAGAGGGAACAACAGCTGCAGGCGATTCCCTGATCAGGAACGCGGGTTTAAAAGGAGGATGGAGACACTTCACTTTGCTGGATGATTGTACCAGTTCAGGTAGCATCAGCCACTCGACTTTGAAACTTTGATCTTTGCTAACTCGTGTTTGACTCGCCTTCGACTTGTGGATTATTGACCTTGGATAGTATTTTTGGATTTGGAATTGGATTATCCCTTACGCCTGTTTTGTCTCGCTCAGAATCACCTCGTCATCTTCTCACCTTCGCTGTCTTCGTTTCTGGAATTAATCAATGCGTCCCGTCCTCCTCCGCCGTTCCTGTTCGGACTTCCGTCTGCTGCCTCACTCCTACTGGATCTCTCACCTTCTGCCCAGCGCCCTCCCCAGCTTCCCTTACTCTCCTTATCAACCGGAACACCTCAGAGTCTCGAGCCATCTTGGCTCCTCAGCACAGGACTTCCCTGTGCGGTTTTCAGTTACCGTTTACAATAAAGACATGTTTACTTTACTGCCTTGGACTTATGTGATGATTCTGCGTGTCTTGGGTTAGGCACTTACCTCGAGCCATGACACAGACCTAAAAAAGCAAGTCACCCCCTACCAGAATCTTACTCCACTCCCATTTACTGTTTGAAAAATGCACCATAAGGAGACGGTGCCTGGCAGACCGAGAGAGCCGAATCCACTAACAAATACACACACACACACAGGTTCACAGTGCCATTGTGACATCATATGGTACTCCTTAACATCATATGGTACCACTTACCCCTTCTTTCCCCCGGAGCCGTCAGCAGCACGTTACTGCAGCAGCACGTCTTGCTCGCGTAAGCTGCTGCTTGGCCCTTCCCACGAGACGCGAAGCAGCAGGGGAGCAGCTGTCACCGACTGAGCACGAAGTCACACGAGTGACTTCGTCAGTAAACACAACAACAAGCAGGAGAAAACTACAACATGGCTCCAAAAGGTTTGTGTTTTATGTTCTGTCCGTTTTATAATCGCCAATACGGACCTGACAAACAAAGGAGACCGCTAGCTAGGTGATAACTTCTCACGGGGCCGCACATTTAGTAACTTTTTTTTAAAAGTAAAGCAACCGGAAGGCAGTACGTTTCTTTATTCTGAAAATCTCGGGAGCTTCGCTCCGTTTCCGCGTCCGATTTCCTGTCTTTCCTTCCCCAAAAATGTTGAACTTGACCCGTTTCAGAGGCGTAGCGTGTAGAAAATAGAACCGGCGCGTAAAGGCCGCGACATGCTGCTCCTGAGACGCGGCCGACTCGCGCTGCTGATGGCTGCTGATGGCTCCGGTGGAAAAGGTTCTGTTGACCACAGCGGTTCCTATCAGCAGCTATGACGTGCTGCTGCAGTAACGTGCTGCTGACGGCTCTGGTGGAAAGAAGGGGTATCTCAATAGCATTGCCAAATTTAAATTCAAATGTAGTGCAGAGTTTTTACCTCAAGAGGGCGCAACACTGACAGTTTTAAAGTGGCAATGTGTAGTTTTTACCGTTTTCTAGAAATAACCATCAAAACGTTGTTGAAAATGAATTACATGAAGCTCAGTTGTTGAAAAATATTAGCAGCTTTGTAACATATTACCATAAAAATTGGGTCTAAAATACATGGAAGAGGGTCTAAGTCTATGGGTGATGCCGTATTAGATGCCATGTGTCCTTCTATGGGAGCCCGTGAGGACAAAATGCATGTATTGATTTGTAACAAGCAGTAACAAATCTTTCCCCATTCATTGACATTGTTTTACACATTTACCACTTCACTCATTGCCAGTGATGATAAGGAGTCTGATGTGCTTGTTATTTTGCTGTTGAACAATCTGATGAGGTGCTCGTTTAAAATTTGTGATCCCAGGAATTTTTTTACCCTAATGGCCATTCGTTGGTAAGGTCTTACTCAAACACAAATAAACAGCTTGCTTGCAATGATTTCAGATGCACTTAAGTGCCAAATTATCGAATACACGTGTCTACAGCACCATTAGGCATTAAATTATATAGTTTATCTGCAAAAAAAGTTGATTTGGGGGTGACTTACTCTTTAAATGACAAGATACACAAAAAGAAGTCCTTCTATATATTGATCGTATAAATCCCATTTTGTATTTAATTTAATTATTTCTGTAATAACCACACAGAAATCCCCCTGATACCTCTGATTTAGTGGTGTTTTACTTTTTAAGCGCCTTAATGCATGAAATTAGAAAATAGAAAACTTCAGTCAGAATGTGTTTTTATCTTTGGGTGTGACAACTTAATTTTGAACTTCATTTTCTTTAAACTTGACAGAATAAGAATATTCTGTCAGTGTGTGGGTTAGGGTTAGGGTAGTGTGTGCATGATGTGGTAGCTTATGTGCAAAATAACCCATCAACTTCCACACATAACAAAAGCTTTTGAGCAGCCGTCCACTGCAGTGACCACTAATTCTAAAAAGATTGAAGTCATCCAAAAAAATCTCACCTGACTGGTTTTTTATTTATTTATCAAAAAACCAGAGACTGTTTAGGGTGAGGCTGTGGACAACAGCTTCTTAAACTGGTTTCTTATACATTTCCAAGAT